TTGTCCAGTGAGAAGGTACGATAGCAACATTGTGTCGTCTAATGTGTATTGATTAGAGTTGACATATTGGATAAGTAGTAAAATTCAATCAAAAGAAAAGTGTTCGAATTTTTTTAAAAAAAGTTTTTACCAAAAAGGAAAAAAAAAAACGGCAAGGAAACTTCATTATAATTTCAATTAATATGATTTCAAGTATTATCGTCTACTTGGATGGCCAAAAAGAAAAAGGTAAATTTTTTGTATGTTTGGAAAGTAGGCAGCTAAAAGCCTGAAAAATGATATATCATGGGTGTTCAAGTTTAACTCCCCACAAGATTTTATTTTTTGTTTTTCAAATAAAAAAAATGCCTTTTAAGTTTTCTTGGTCTAATATCATTAATAAGAAACGCCAATGTTAAAAATATTAAATATTGATAAAACGTTTCCAAAGACTGCCATATTAAACTTACTTTTTGAAAAAAAAAATAATTAACACAAAAAATGATCATTTGAGTCTAACATTCAAAAAGAATAATGATTCACACAAAAAATATCATTTGAGTCTAACAATATTAGTGTTAAGTATATGACTACAAAGATACCTTATAAAATGAACCAACCAAATTGAAAATGAAATAACAATCAGATGATTAATTTCCCAGATAAACTAATGCAAAATAAAAATCCGGAAATTTCGAAGAAAAAGAAAACGAAAGTCATAAGATTGCTTCTTTTTTTTTTTTTTTTTTCTCTCTTTTAACTTTCACTTTTACATCTGGTCTACAGGCACCCGAAAAGCAAGCAGTAGGGACAAGGTGTCCCCAAACGCGTAATAACAATCAAGTGTCGGAAGGCCTGATTTTTTTGACCTTCTGATTTCAAATGCTGAAGTTAAAGTTCACTTTTAGAGAAAAGAAAAGGAAAGGAAAACGAAAGAGCACTATCATATCCAAACCGAACGCTTTAGAAGTTCATGAAAAGAGTGGTGATTTGAGTGCAGCTGAATTCTGTTCATCTCGCTAGCCCAGAATCATCAGCTGAACCATATTGTGCAAGCTTCGTTATCTGGTATCAACATCAAATTAAAACCTCTTCTTCTTTGCCTCTTTATGGTCTTTCATTTTCTCATCAGTTGTGTTTTCTGTTTCTTATACTGACTTAAGGCTCTATATCTCCCAACTTGCGAGTTCCAACTTATTTGACGACTCAGTCTGGTCATGGCAGTGCAATTCTGTTCTTCGTCCTCTTCACAATCTACAAGCCAACACTGAAAGTGTAAGTTTATTACTGGTACGAAGCAATATCGATTCAGATTCATCTCATTTTTTCCTCACTTTAATTATTCTTTCACACATGTTTAGTTTCTTTTACCATTGTTCTATCTGTGATATGTGTGTGTGTGTGTGTGTGTCTCCCAATTCTCTACGTATGATATGAGTAGCTTGTTGGTTGCTGATAATTGCTGCTAAGTGGGTGCTTTTTGTTGTGTGAAAAGGATAATAGGTAGCTGAAAGCCTGAAAAATAATACATGATATATCATAGGTGTTTAACTCCTCACAAGCTTTTATTTTTGTTTTTTAAATTTTAAAAATGTCGTTTTTAGTTATCTAATACTTTTTTTGTATCAAAATTAGTTATCTTTTTCTTGGTAAAAGTCAAAATTAGTTATCTAATAATAACATTATTAAAAAAATGACAACATTGAAATTTTAAAAACGGACGAAATATTCTCAGATGCTGGCATATTGAGTTTAAATTTTTAAAATAATAATGATGAGACATAAAATCATCATTATATTATTGATACTAACAGTATTATGGCTAGATGAGTAAGAAAATACTTATAAAATGAATGGACCAAATTGAAATTTTATATAAAATTATATGACATGGGATCCCGCAACTGTATAAATCAAATAGATGCAATTGGGAATATATCTTTTTTTTTTGGCCTGTAATCATACATTATTGATATATAAACATTCGTATTTGGTCAAAAAAGATATATAAACATTCGTATATCAGTAAAGAGTTTGTTCGGTATGCCTAAAATGTACTATCCCCTGCCCTTAATATAAGTTCCAGTTGATTAATTTGAAAAAAATTAAAAAAATTACTAAATTACTTAATTATAAAATATGTTAATACATGAAATGTAACTTTCCGGTTGCTGTTTCGTATCTGAGGATGAAGCGGTAAAACATTTCTGTTGCAGATCAATAAAATTTTGATTTTGAAACGGGACGTACCTGGGTTGAAGGTGAAGCGGTGCGCTCTGAGAACAAGATATATTATTAATTAATTAGTTCAATCCATGAATTAATTAATGCCTGAATATCCTAAGTTTTACAAAAATCTAGCTTTAAAATACATACTAATTAAAACTGTGTTTCACTATAATGACACTTTTTTTATATTTTTATTTTTTTGGACTAAATATTTTATATTTCTATTAAAAAAAATCAAACATATTTTTATTCTAATTTTGATTTGCACAAACTGTTTTGGAAATTTAAATTAGGTAGAATTACTATAAAATCCCAAGCAATGAACATAATTACTAAAAAGTCCTAATAATAATAGAACAATATCAAATGACAAGTTTCAAAGTAGGAAATGATAATTGCTCACTTGTCATTAAAACTTATTGGTAATTATTTTTTATTTTTTTAGCCTCATTGTAATTCTCTCTTTAAATTACATATGCACACGAGGGATTTTTCTTTATGGACAATACTTACATTAATTTCCTTATATTTATTATCTCATACATGATCTTGAGTTATATTTTAAAATATTATCATTTAATTATAAACTCACCTGAAAAAATATAACACTTGGACATAGGGAATTCAACTTGACATGAATGAATATAATAAACTTGACATTTTCCTTTCTTTATATTGAAGATGAAAAAACAAAATCTATCATGAAAAATCTCTATAACTCTTTTAAATAGAATATAAATTTGTACAATTTTAATAAAAATATTTTAAAAACATAAAACAAAAAGTAACTTAATGTCTTAATTCTAAAGCATGAATATAGAGCATAAAACCATTTACAAAATGAATCATGCAATTAAAATGAATGATCCTTTTTTCTTGTTCCTTAATTTTTTCTTTCAGTCCGTTGGCAACAAACTAAATTATAGTATTGCTGGAGCAGTTTTCATCGTCTTTTATTGACAATTGATCTGTTCTTGGGTTGGTAAGAAATCCTTTTTTTCCTTTTTTTTAATTAAAAACAAAAATAGAGACATGGATAATGTGTAATTATTTTACTACTATATACTATATATCTTTCTATATCGGTTGCCTTTATTGAAGGGATCATGTGTAATTATCCTCTTTCACATCTTTTTTCTTCTTTTACATTTTTTATTTTTAAGCAGTCTCTTCTTGTTTCAAAAAAAAAAAAAAAGATAACTTCAATTTTCATCTTTTCTGTACGCCTCATTATCATAATTGAAAAATACTCCTCCGGTCTTAAATATAAGACCGTTATACTAGTGTGTATAAGGGTCTTATATTTAGGACCGGAGTACAATTCTTTTTTTAAAAAAAGTTATGCGGGTTTTTGGGTCAAGTACTACGTACAACCGCCGCACTTTCTTCTTTGTCTTTCTCTTTTTGATATTTTTACTGGATTTTTCCCTTGTTATTTCTATTTTTTTTTCAGTGTGAAATTGATGTTCATTATCTCTCAGAGGAAACATCAAAGAGAACACCAAAAAGTATCTACTCCCTTCATCGACTTCCACCTCTTTTCAATACAAAAATTATATTTATTATTTCTTTTTATCGTCTTCTTTCTTCTTCATTTTTAACATCAGCCATTATATTCTCTCATATGTGCGCCTTCCTCCTCCTTTTTCAGTTTTGTTCTTCTGATCGCCCAAAATGATCATCCCGCTGGCTGGGTTGATCGATTTTGTTCTTCAGATAACTCTAACTTTGGTTTTTTTTTTTTTTAATTCCCAAACAAGTGTATTGATTACGTGCAAACTATTTGCATAAAATAATATGATATTAATAGTGACTAACGTTATTTTAAAAAATACAATAGAGAGGAATAAGACAATATACATACATAGAATTTTATCTTTTATAATGCTAATTTGATTGATCAATAATTCTCTATTTTATCTTTTGTCAATGTATTATTTTATAAGTCCGAATCAACCGATGACAAAATAGTAGCCACTTGTTTTTTTTTTTTTTTCCAGAAAAGGAAACTTCTATTGCATGGTTCTTTATTTCATTTATTTAATTTAATCATTTATCTAATTGCAACCGTCACTAGCGCTACGTTCAATCAAGATTTCTTGTTTGTTCCTTGAAAAGTCTTAGCAAAAGTAAAAACTCACAAGTTCCGATGATATTTATTAACTGGAACTCACGATTTCTTCAACTTTTTCAATTTTAAATTCATATTTTGGGTTCCATTAGAATTGAAAATTTATCTAATCAAATTATCGACTTTAAATTTAAGGTTATTTTTATTTAAAAAAACAAGAAAATAAAGGAAAAAGAAAGAGCACTGTCATTTCCAACCGAGTTCACTATGAAAAGTGTGGTGATTGCAGTAGAATTCTGTTCATCTCGCTCTTTAAACTTGGCTAGCCAACAATCACCAACTGAATTGTGGAAGCTTATCTGGTATGAAAATCAAAACCTCTTTTCTTTGCCTCTTCAATTTAGTCTTTCTTTTTCTGATCAATGTTTTCCGTTGGTTACATGAGGGTCTATCCGCGATCACTCTGTCAAAGTATGAGTAGCTTGTTGATAGTTGTGCTAGAAATTTGTTGCTTACAAACGACATTTGTTACTTTCTTCCTTTCAACTTCGCACTGCCAGAAAGTACAATCTAAAATATAGTAAATTTAGTTACTCTAGTGTCTAAAAATAAATAGCTGGGAAAAATTTTAGATCTCATAGCAAGAACGATTAAGTATGTGAGAGGCTTCCTATTCTACATCATGAAATTTACCTTTCAGGAATTGTCGTCACATATTCGAATGGACGACGCGGGAATATCAGCAGTAGCAAAGCTTGCTGAATATTTGGTGGATCCTACTTTGCACCAATTGCAATATTTGTTTTGTGTTGGCAAAATCACTAGAAATGTTGAGACCAAAAGGGAGGAATTAATATTGAAGCAAGGGAGGGTGCAAGAACTTGTTGAAGAAGCCATTAAGAGGACTGAGAGGATCGATGATGAGGTTAACAAGTGGATGAATGAGGTGGTGAGCCTCATAGCAGAGGTGGAGAGCTTGGTGCAAGAACTGAATGCCAACAATAACTGCTTCCAAAGGTGGTGTCCTACTTGGAGGAGATATCATCTCTGCAAAGTGTTGGCGAAGACAGCCCAGCAGATGACAGAGTTGAATGCAAAGAGTGATCAGCTTGAACCATTTTCTCATTATGTTATTGTTCCAGATATAGAGTATCACTCTTCTAAAGATTTTATGCTCTTCAGATCAACAGAAATGGCATATGATGAGCTATGGGAGGCACTGCAAGATAATGATAGCTTTATTATTGGGTTGTGGGGCATGGGCGGTTCAGGCAAAACCACATTGGTCAAGGAAGTGGGAAAGAAATCCAAAGAATCAAAGCTGTTTGATCGAGTTATAATCACAACAATTTCCCAAACTCCAAATATAAGGAAGAGCCAAGGTGAAATTGCAGACTTGTTGGGACTCGAGCTGAGGGAAGAAAGTGAAGTAGGAAGGGCAAGAAGAATTGCAATGAAATTACAAAGTCCAAAGGAACAAATTCTAATTATATTGGATGATGTATGGGCTATGCTAAACCTTAAGGATATAGGGAATCCCTTTAGGAATGAAGGTCCAAGAAACTGCAAAGTTCTTCTTACCACGCGTCGTAAAGAGGTATGTACCTTGATGGATTGCCAAAAAACTATTTCATTGGGTCTACTAACAGAAGGTGAAGCTTGGGATCTATTTCAAACTCATGCTAAAGTAGATGATGGTGCAATAGAAGTGGCTCAAGAAGTTGCCATGGAATGTAAGGGACTACCCATTGCAATTGTGGCCATGGGGAAGTGCTTAAAAGCAAAAGGACTTGATGAGATAAATGTAGTATTGCATAGGTTGAGACATTCAAAGCCAGTTGTTGTGGATGAAGGAGGGAGCGATGCTTGTGCTTGTCTCAAGTTAAGCTATGATTATTTGAAAACTGTAGAAGCCAAATTGTTGTTCTTGATATGTGCTCTATTTCCTGAAGATCATGAAATCATCATTGAAGATCTTTTCAGGTATGGGATTGGGTTAGGCTTATGCAAAGATGCTGACTCATTGGAAATAGGAAGAAGTCAAGTTATAGCAGCTATAAATGTTCTCATTGACTCTTCATTGTTGACGTATTATGTCAACTCTTGGAATGAAAAATGTGTGAAAATGCATGACATGGTTCGTGATGTAGCTTTATGGATAGCACCTAAAGAGCATGGTACTATTATGGTCAACTGTGCTAAAGAATTTAATGGATTGCATGAAAATGAATCAGCAAAGGATTGCTATGCAATATCTTCATGGAATAGAAAGAATGAATTACTTCAATTTCCTTGTCAACTGGACGCTCCAAAGCTTGAGCTTATGTTGATAAATTCAAGCAAACCCATGGATTTATCACGTGCATCATTTGAAGGTGTTAAAGGACTAAAAGTTGTGGCTCTGAACAACAATGGACCGTTCTATTTGACAAAATTGCTTCCTCAATCAATACAATGGCTGTCCAATCTTCAAACTTTGCGCTTGCGAGATTGGGATTTAGGTGACATTTCTTTTGTGGTAAGCCTAAAAAGACTTGAAATTCTTGACCTGAAAGGAAGCAGATTCAAAAAAATGCCAAATGGAATTGAAAATCTAATCCATCTAAAATTGCTGGACTTGTCATGGTGTATAGCTGAAGAGTGTTTTTATAAAGCAATGGGAAGGTGTTCACAACTAGAAGAATTGTATGCTTATATAATACACCCTTCAAAATGCACAACTTGTTATGAATGCTTTGTGGGTGTCCCTGCTCTTTCAAAATTGGGAAGGTATACGTTGGAAATGGGGCCACACAACAAGACTATGTTCCAGAATAAAGGCATAAGAGAGATATTCTTTGCAGAGTTAAATATCTCCATCCCAAGTGCAATGATCAAGGATCTTGCACAAAGAGCAATTGCAATTGAATTTTATAAGCTTCAAGGAGGTTGCAGAAGGTTCAGTCCAGATGTGGTTCAAGCTGTAGGAGGCATGAATGAGTTAACTAAACTCTGTCTTCAACATTGTTCTGAGATCGAATGCTTTACTGATCAAACTATTCCTCATGAAGACATAGTTGTCCTTAGATTGGTTGAGCTGGTGTTGAAGCATATGGATAATCTAAAACAACTATGTTATGGCCCTTCAAATGCTAGCTTATTTCTAAATCTAGGAAGTCTAAACATAGAAAGTTGCCCTCAATTGCACAACGTGTTTCCTAGTAAATGCAATTTAGGCAACCTTAAGTACCTCAACATTGTCAACTGTCCGATGTTGACATCCCTCTTCCCTATCTCAGTTGCTTGTACTTTGCTATCGCTAGAACAACTCTCAATAAATGAATGTCATGAATTGAAGCATATAATTGAGGGAGAGGATGGTATTGTTGACGCAAGGGAGGATCCGATATTCCCAAAATGGGGAATTCTGTCTGTCTGGAATTGTAACCAATTAGAATCTATTTGCCCAAGCTTTTGTGTTCAAGGGTTTACACAATTAAAATCTATATTCATAAAAGATGCTCCTCAGTTGAAATTTGTATTTGGTGAAGCAACATCAATATGTGATGGAATAGAGACTAGCATAGTGCTTCCACTTTTAGAAAATTTCAGATTGGAAAACCTCCCAAATCTAGTCAGAATTTGTCCAGAGAGCTATCATCTATTGTGGCCATCTCTAATGAAAGCAGAATGGACAAGCTGTCCTAAGATAGAATACTTCATTTGATTCTCTCATTATGGGTTCAGAACTATAAGGCAACCACGTCAAAATATGGTATGCGTTTACTCTTTGATGCTTCCATTTGATTTTCATAATATGTTGAAGAATACAGAGAATTAGTAGTTTTCTAAATATCTTATTTCATGTAATTTTTTGAGGTATGCATGAAAATAACAAGTAGGGTTATCAAAAGATCGCCTTACTTCAATAATACATCTTTACGCGCGTCAAATTTTTTATAGATGTATTTGAAAATAAGCAATCAAGGAAGTCGATAAATCCCTATCTTATTAATTCTTTTTATCTCTTATTATGAGATTTTATCTTTTTTGGGCATAATTAATTGTTAAAATACATAGTTGGATCACAAGGCTATTTTTGAAGATTAAACGGATTAAATGCTATACTTTGCTAATAACTATGCATCTTAAATATTTTCTATTTATCTGGACATATGATCCTACCTTTATTGATTTGAATGTGCAGGTGATGATATGGGAACGTTTGTCAAGTGTTAAAGAAGGATGAGGTGGCGCCACTTGGCTTGATGAAGGGCGAAATTGGAATTACTGAGTGCACGTACGTGCAAATTTTATTTTTATTTGAAAAGAGGTGACATAAGTTTGGACTTTGATGGCTTCATTATGGATTGGATTAAGCCGAGGTTTTGAGCGACACGACAGCCATAAGTTTGGATTGGATTATGCTATTTAAGTGTTTTCATCTGTTAATATATATACTTTTAGTTTGAGTTCTATATTGGAATAAATTCTTAACGTTTTATTGTTGAGTGAATTAATTGTTTAGAGCTTGCTTGAGAATTATATTGATATTTATGTTTGTATTGTAGTTGAGTTCTTTAATGTTGTTTGTTCTCGCATGTTAGGGCAAGATCATTACATTAAATTGAACTCGCTAAAAGCAAAGAATTACATCTAACCCATCTCTCTATATATTTCTTTTCAAATATTTATGTTTGCATTACCCTTTTGTCTCAATAAAACAATGAATTTTTATTTCCAAAATTACCCTCTTCTCTCAATTGTTCTGTCCTTTCACAAACAAATATCTTGTACATCAGATTCAAGGGATAGATGTTTTGAGGAAAAAAAGAAAAATTCTAGAAGCTACCCCATAATCATACCAGACGTCGTCCTCAAGCCGCGATATACACTGCGGGAGTCATGTGCCTCCGTTTCACCTTCCTCAGATGGTTCAACATATCCTTGGCCAGAGCTAATTTTGACAAATATAATCCCATTATGAGTTCGTGAGTAATGCCTTTGTCATTTTTTTCCCCCCAATAACTCTGCATTTTGATCCGGATTTTAGTTGCCATGTAAATCATCAAGTACAAAATACACACACACATATATATTTATATATATATATATTAAAGTATACTTTCAATCCCTTAACTTTATATAAAATTTTAATAATCATTTAAATTTTTTTTTTTGGGGAATGAAAAGGAAAGATTACACTTGAAAGGAGAAAACAAAAGAGCTAGCAACTATGCTATGTCATCTCTGAGACGAGATAAATATTCGTTTGATCGATTAATTTTTAAAAAGTATATTTTTAGTCATTTAGTCTTAAAACCGTTAATTAAAAAACAATGATATTAAAATCTTGAATGTTGATAAAATATTTTTAAATGTTAATATATTAAGTTCAATTTTTGAAATTATCATATTTGTCACAAAAATCATTATTTAATGCTAATAATTTTAAGGCTAAGGAACTAAAAATATTTTTTTTAAAGTTAGGAAGTCAAACTAAAAAGAAGAACCCAATTTATCCTTTTGCCTATATATGTCTGGTTGGATAATCTTACTGGTAACATCGATAAAGGATTCCATCCGTTGTAATCTGATCTGAGACAAACAAATGTTACGTGAATGACAAAAAGGAGGGGAACAATCACAAAGCTTCAGAATTACAGAGCACATATTTCTTAATATTATCTCCGGTTCTTAATATAAGAACCAGTTTGACTTTAATTTAGCCCTAAATATAAGACTCACATCTACTTTGTTTATCACATTTATCTATTCTCAAATTAGTCTCTATAGGAGTTAGACATCTTAAAAGTTTTATTAAATAGTAGTTTTAGTCAATACATAATATTAATAAGGATATTTTAGAGAAGATTAAATATATCTATTACACAAATAGAAGTAGTACTTAGAAACATTACATTACATGTTAATATGCAATAAGACTGGCAATTATTAGTACACCCAACGCATATATCGAGGCCTAGGATGTGACGACAATCTTGCCAATAGAAAGAAAGATGGAAAAGACAAACAAAACAGGAGCAAAGGATATAGAACTAAAAATTTGGAGGCGTTGTTCCTATCAGCGTGGATGTCTATCTCTTTTTTATTATCTCTAAAATTGTGTCTTATCTCCATGATCTCACAATTATCTCATATTATTGTATAATCTGTGAATTCTATTGAAGTTGTAAAGTCATGCCTATAAATGGATGGTGTATACCATATATTGAGTATCTTGAATGAAATGAGAAATATCCTTATATTTTCTCCTCTCTAACTCTTTATTCTTCTTCTTTACTTTTTCTTCAATTTCATAACAGTTCCGTTCATTGTCATTAAGTTTTGACGAGTAAAATACTGAATGGCACGACGTGATAGATATACGGCAGATCAGCATATTACAAGATTCCTGTAATTTTGAATGTCTTCATCAAATATTAAGAAAGTAAATGACCACTGGGTGCTCAGAATATAACCTCGAAAAATGAGTAAATGCGATACACATTCAAGAATAAGGGTAATTTTGAGCGTTTATGACAAAGCAATATTAACTTAAAGGCAAATTAGTTAGTGCACAATGTAGAGATAGGTAAAATTTGTCAACAAACTTGGCCAACTACTGATAAGCGTCACTTCAAGTTGTAGGCAGCCCGTTATCACTTAGTAAAACAAGTAAAGTGCAACAGAGTAAAACAGAGCAAGGTGATTGTTAACAACAAAAACAAGAGATTGTCAATAATTTTTTTTTTTTGGGAATAAACTGCTTATTGATAAACTCAACCACTTGTCAACAAACCTTCAATAATACTACCTTTGATATTTAATATAAGAGTTAGTTTGACTTTTAATTTGATTTTAAATATAATATCTCAATCCACTTTGTCTTTCATATTCATCCATTTTTGCCAAAATAGTCCTTATAACAGTTGCACATGTTAAAAGTTCCATCAAATGGTAGTTTTAGCTAATCTACATGATTGAAAAGGGTATTTTAAGAAAGACAATACCTAGTTATTACAAATAACTAATTTAACTAATTATCTTAATATTTTCAAATTAGTCATGAAAATGGACCTTGCCCAGTAACTGAATAACATTTCTGTATTATCAATAATGTCTCACACTAAAATGTGACCTGTCTTGCTTACACCTTAAGGTCAAATCCAAAATTTAAAACCAAGGATTGTACTATAGGCACAACCTCGGGTCGTTCACTTGTTGGAGCCTTAATTATTGATCCTAAGTTAACTAAATGCCATTAAAATGCAAATTGACTGGGAAAAGATGTGGGTTTTCATTAGAACTATTAATTGAGATAAAATGCGATGTAAATTTACTTTTGGATTTTTGGGAAATTAAGATGGAATGGATGGAAAACAAGTGTTGAAATAATTAATAAAACCTCTTGAAAATGGACCTTTGGCAATCATAGCTCAAAATGATTTTGGGATTAAAAATCACCAAGTTTTCTAAAGGAAAAACCTTAAAGAACCCTTTAAGTCTAGGATCTTAATCAATGGCCACCCATCTCATAAGATCCTATTAAGCTCACTTAGTGTGTGTATTAAGATTAATTAATGCACTTGGTCTAATGCAAGCCTAGATTAACTCAACAATCAAACAATACCATGCAAGAAAGAGAGTATCAAAAGAGTTGCATAGAAACATATATGTAACCACATATATTGAAGCTCAAATTCAACATTAACTAATCCAATACACAAGATAATCATCCAGAATTGATTACAACCATAATCAAAACAGTTCAGCCCCAATTTACAAATCCTAAGACCTAGAAATTCATAAATAAACAACTAGAACTATGGATGAAGCTAACTCCCCTTTGAAGCTCTTGGAACTCATGCCAATCAACCATCTTCAAGAGTTGAAGAACCCCTAGCCCTCCATAACTCCAAGCATTGCTCCAACCAGCAGCAATAGTTGAATCTCCATGGAAGAAGAGGTTATGGATGGATTAAAGGGAAATATGATGGAATGTAATGAAGAATTGGTGGAAGGAGGAGATGAGAGGATGATTCAGCCAAAGAAAGGTGAGGAGAGACCGAATGAGGCTTCCCTAGGTTGAAACTCAGCTTATACTGGCTACTAGAGGTGGTTTGGGGTCGGGTTGAAGCTTAGGGATCCGAATCAAAATGCTGAAATCGCGACTTTTGCAATTATGACAAATCCGCCACTGTGGATTTGTCCATCCGCCACGGCGGATGGTACCTTTAAGCCAAAATGCAAAGCTTCATTTACGCAAGACTTCTGGTGTAATTTCTTGAATTCTGGGGCCCTTTTCTGCGATTAATCTGGTCTTTTACTACCTTTAATGTTGGGACTAAAGTGTGATTTCCAAATTTGCCCAAATTTCTCCCAAAGTACCTACAAGGAAAATCATACATAATATAGCATCAATTATCCTAGAAATCAATTAATAATAATTAATCTCCAATTATGACAATTTTGCCCCTATTATGCACTAATTCAAGGTAAGGCACTTTAATATAATTTAAGCACAATAAACACTAAAAGAGCTACTAATTATGATAAAAACCCTTAAAATGATATGAAAAGACAATAAAGAATTGGGTTTAATCACACACATAAACCAGTTTATAGGAAAACTATTTATAGGCCTTTGAGTCCAATACGTAGGCCCAACTGCATAACTAATACAAACTGAATATTTTCTACATACAATAACAAATTACACGCATAACTGAATATTTTCCACACTCCCCCTCAAGTTAGGAACTCTATATTCACAAGTTCCTAAGTTGCTCAAAATATACTCATGTTGCGGACCCCTAAGAGCTTTAGTTAAGATGTCTGAAGTTGTTCCTTTGACTTGACATGCTTGAAATTTATCATTCCAGCTAGCAATTTTTTTCTCACAAAGTGGCAGTCAATTTTAATATGCTTGGTTCTTTCATGAAAAACAAGATTAGAGGCTATATGAATGGCAGATTTGTTGTCACAGTAAATCGTTACAGGTTCAACCTCATGAACATATAACTCCTTCATTAGACCCCCAATCCCTGTGATTCCAGCAGATGCCATTCTTAGAGCTCTATACTTTGCTTCAGCAAAAGAAATAGATACTATGCTTTGCTTCTTACACTTCCAGCAAATAAGTGAACCTCCTAAATTAGGAAGCCAGTAACTGACTGCCTTGAATCTATACAGCCTCCATGATCAGAGTCGCAGAAGCATTCCATGCTAGTAGAGCCATTGGCTGAGAGATAAACTCCACGGCCTAAACTGTCTTTAACATATCTAACTCGCCTCAATGCTGCCTTCATGTGTGATTCTTTAGATTCTTGCATGAACTGGCTCAAAACCTACATAGTAAACGATATATCAAGCCTAGTTAATGTCAGATACAGCAACTTACCAACCAATCTTCTGTAGACACCAAGATCATCAATATATTGATCATCCCTTTTCCCTTGTGCTGTGAGTTTCAAATTTTGCTCCATGGGAGTTCTGACATTTTCAGCTTCATCTAATCCTGTTTGGTCAACAAGTTCAGTAGCATACTTTCTCTGGTTGAGTATAATACCCTCATTTGACCTTAAAACCTCTAAACCCAAAAAATATTTCAATACTTCCAAGTCTTTGATTTGAAATTCATTATGCAGACAAGATTTCACTTCATTAATAATTTGAACATTATTCCCAGTTATCATCAAATCATCAACATAGGCAAGAAAAAACGCAATACCAGATTTAAATTGCTTCTGAAAAAGAGCATAATCATGTTTACTCTGTTGAAAACCCCCTTTGATAAGAGATTGAGTAAGTTTCTCATTCCATTGCCTTGAAGCTTGCTTCAATCCATATAAGGATTTCTCAAGTTTACAAACCTTAAACCAGTTAGAATCAGTCTCAAAACCTTAAGGCACAGTCATATAGACTTCCTCATGTAATTCTCCCTGTAGAAAAGCATTGTCCACATCCATTTGGTGTATGGACCATCCATTTACAGCAACCAAATTAAGAACAGTTCTTATTGTAACTATTTTAACTACTGGAGAAAAAGTTTCCTAAAAATCAACTCCTTCCTTCTTATTGTACCTTTTTGCAACAAGCCTAACTTTAAATTTTTCAGTTTTGCCATCTGCCTTATACTTTACCCTATAAACCCATTTACAGCCTATGGGTTTCTTTCCTTTATGTAAATTAACTATCTTCCAGGTTTTATTACCCTCTAAAGCTTTAATTTTAGCTTCTACCCATATATGATCTTTAGAAGCCTATTCATAATTTTCTGGTTCAATTTCTTTATTGATATTTGAAAGAAAACATTTGTATGAATCAGTCAAATCATCATAATTAATAGAGCAAAGTAAAGAACCAGAATTGTCCATTTCAGGATGAGGTTGATTATTAGGCAAAAAATCACATTCATAATCCTTAACCCATGAAGGTGGTTGTCTGTGTCTAATAGGCCTAAACAGTAGACGAACAGAGGAAGAATGTTGACTATTGTGAGGTATTATGTGACTTTGGGATGATTGTTCATTGCTGTTTAATTCAGCAGTATTTCGATGCTTGTCAATATCAGAATTTATCCTATTGTTTATCAGTTCAGGGGTTTGCTTGATATTATCAATAAGAAAAGGATCAATTGTAAATCTATTAACTCCCCCTTGATCTGTGACATAAGCATCTTTAAAAGGAAATCTGTTTTCAAGGAAGGTTGCATGCCTAATGACTATAAGGGACTTACTCTTAACATTGTAAAGAAGGTACCCCTTTTGAGTGGTTGGGTATCCTAAGAAAACACATGCTTCAACCCTAGGTTGCAACTTATCAATAGAATTTAAATTTACAACAAAAGCAAGGCATCCAAAAATCCTCAAATGTTCCAGATTAGGTGGCTTCTTGTAAAGTAGTTCATATGGTGTAACATAACGTAATGACTTAGAAGGTGTTCGATTAATCAAATAGGCAGCAGTTCGAACCTGTTCTCCCCAGAACCTAGCAGGGATATGAGACTGAAACATAATACTCCTAGTAACATTCAAAATATGTCTATGTTTCCTTTCAACAGCTCCATTCTGCTAAGGAGTAAAAGGACAGGATTTCTAATGTAGAATGCCTTTATTACTAAGAAATTCATGCATTTGAGTATTAACAAACTCCAATCCATTATCAGTTCTAATTGCTTTGACATTGACAGAAAACTAATTTGCAGAATAAGCAATAAATGTTTTAACAAACTTCACAGCCTCAGACTTAAAATGCATTAAAAAGATCCAAGTTCCCCTAGAATAGTCATCAACTATAGTGAGAAAATATCTATATCCTTGATGCGTTGGCATTTTATATGGGCCCCATACATCAATATGCAATAATTCAAAACAGAAAGTAGATGTAGAGGTACTAGAAGTAAAAGGCAACCGAGGTTGTTTAGCCTGAATACAAATTTCACACTTATTACTGTCAGAGATACAATCAGAAATCTTTATACCAATCACGTGTTTCATAACATCCGTAGGCACATGCCCCAGTCTAGAATGCCAAACAAAAACATTTGTATCATTCAAATTATTACTTTTGTTTACAGTATTTAAAGAATCATGTATAGTTTCTCTCTTTAATAGGTAAAGGCTTCTAGAAGTCTACTAATCCCTCTGATCATCCCGTTGAACATGTCCTGCAGTATACAAATGTTAGGGAAGAAAGAGACAACATATAAACTATCAAGAGTAAGTTTGGCAATAGAAATTAGGTTGTAACAGAATGGTTTGGCACGGAAAACGTTTTTCAGAAAAATATCTTTTGTAATTTTAAACTCCCCTATATGTGTTATTCGAATTCTTTCTCCACTTGGGACCTTGACCCACTTGGGGGGGCCAATATAAACTTGTATATTTATCTAAGTATGATAGACTGCAAACTATGTGACAACTAGCCCCAGAGTCTAATATCTATTCAGAGTCTAAGTTTACTGCCAAACTTGGTGTTATAGCTTGGATGCTTACAGCAACTTCATTTGGGTCTAAATCATGCTTGAGCAGTTCTGATATTTGCTTGTATTGATCAGGTGTAAATCAAGGAGCCTGAGAGTTTGGAAGGTCTTGGTTGATACTTGATTTCCTAGAATCATTAGCTGTAGTTTCATCTTCATTTGCTTGATCCTCAGGGGTCCTTTTTGCCTTGTTAGACCCAAAATTGGGTGGAAAACCAATGAGCTGATAACAGCTTTCTCTTCTATGGCAGTAACTACATTCTTGTTTTGATCTTTCTCTGCCACGTCCTCTGCCTTCTCTTGTAGCATTAGAGGCTAAGATGGAGCTTTTAGAAGAAGAGTATGATGCCCCATAAGATATCTGTCTCTGCGTTTCTTCCTGAACAACCATGGAATACGCTTGATTAGGGGATGGTAGAGGCTTCATCAATAATATCTGACTACGTACTTGATGAAAAACCTCATTAAGTCCCATAAGGAATTGGAACAATCTTTGCTCTTGAGCACTTTTAGCATACTCCTTGGAAGAATGACACGAACAGCTAGGAATAGGGACCATTGTTGCATGCTCATCCCACAGTTCCTTCAGTTTAGTGTAGTAGGCAGATACAGATAAAGTGCCTTGTGTGAGGGAGTTCATTGAACGGTGTAAGGAGAAGATTTTCACACCATCAACCACAGCAAATCTCTCTTTGAGATCTATCCATACTAAGTGTGCATTAGATGAAAACACCAAACCACTAGCAATCTGGCTATCGACAGAATTGATTACCCATGAAAGCACCACAGCATTGCAACGATCCCATTAATCTTGGAGGTGGGAATCTTGCTTTTCACGAGTACATGTCCCCAAAACAAATCCCAATTTATTCTTACCAAGAAGTGCCAACTCTATGGCTTGACTCCAAACAGAGTAATTGTTAGAGCCATAGAGAACTTGGGAAACAATAGTATTGGCTTATGTATCAGTAGGATGTAAGTAAAGATGAGTTGGAAGTCAAGAACATAAGATTTTGAATCATTGTCTGTCATTATGATGAATCTTGAACAATCTAAAGAAGCTGTTGAGGAATCGCAGCTTGACCAAGAATGAAATCAAAAGTCTTGGTGGAGGGCAAACGTAAAGTAGGCACGTCGGCAATTACCAGACATTGATGATTGGGACAAGGGAGCGAATCACGATGGTGATTCAGGATGCTCATAAAACAGAGAGCCTGAATGGCATCGCTAAAGCCACTAAGCCAATGATGACTAGAAACTCATGATTAGAGTCTAAGGGGCAAGCATTGTGAAGCTCTCGATAGCAGGGACCATCGACGATAATGACTCAGTTAAGGAACAAATTTCAGCTAACCAACTTCTTGTCCTCCGACGTTTACACAGCAGCGAGGAACAAGAAAGACAATTAGAAAAATGATTACTCGATCCCCAGAATACGAACGCAAGAAAGACGATCACTTGATTGCCAGAACACAGACGCAAGATTCAGACACTGATGAAACTGAATTGATGTGCAAAGAAGAATCACAGAAACGATGCAAAACAATGGTGCCCTAATCTTGAATAATGAACTGGTGAGACTGGATACCCGAATGGACCATCAAATTTGGGCTGGCTTTGGTACCATGAAAATAGACCTTGCCCAGTAACTGAATAACATTTCTGCATTATTGATAATGTCTCACA